TTATTTTTGTTCCTGGGATTAGGCAATAAAGAAATGCTAAATATTGGCTTTCATGAAACTGTTAATATACATTATTTCTCCATTAGAATGGTATTTTAACAAATATTAAAACATAAACACTTGTGTAGAGTTCTTTATATAAGGAAAGCACTGTTGCTAATGAAGGATAAAAATATTTTTAAAATACTTTCCTATATTTAAAAAATACCTTCCTATCAGATCCAAGCAGACGTAAGGCTTATGTGGGAATAGCCTTATACAATTTCCTTAATAATTTGTGAAATAGGTTTTACAAAACAATAATACTTTGTAAGCCATCCAAATGAAGGTTCTCTCTACAATGAATAGCCCACCATGTCCTAGACACCCAGTAATAGGACAGAGCCAGGCACTGGTTAGGGTTAGAAAAGAAGAGAGGGTTGTATGTGTCTTTTTTCTCTTAGGTTTTACTCCAAAGATAATGTTGTTATTTTGTATTTTTCTCTGCCTTAGTTTACTACTGAGACAACCATTAAGCACCTATTTTCCTAAGCAATACTGTTTGCATCATTCTTTTTTTTTTTTTTTTTTTTTTTTGAGATGGCGTTTTACTCTTGTTAACCAGGCTGGAGTGCAATGGCGTTATCTTGGCTCACCACAACCTCCGCCTCCTGGGTTCAGGCAATTCTCCTGCCTCAGCCGCCTGAGTAGCTGGGATCACAGGCATGCGCCACCATGCCCAGCTAATTTTTTGTATTTTTAGTAGAGACGGGGTTTCACCATGTTGACCAGGATGGTCTCGATCTCTTGACCTTGTGATCCACCCTCCTTGGCCTCCCAAAGTGCTGGGATTACAGGCTTGAGCCACCGCGCCCAGCCTCTTTTTTTTTTTTTTTTAAAGTCAGAGTCTTGCTCTGTCACCCAAGCTAGAGTGCAGTGGTGTGATCTTGGTTCACTGCAATCTCTGCTGCTTCCCAGGTTCAAGCAATTCTCCTGCCTCACCTTCCCAAGTAGCTGGGATTGCAGGTGCCTGCCACCACACCTGGCCACTTTTTGTATTTTTAGTAGAGATGGGATTTCACCATATTGTCCAGGCTGGTGTCTTTGGCACGTGGCACATGCCTGTAGTCCCAGGTACTTGGGAGGCTGAGGCAGGAGAATCGCTTGAACCCAGGGCGCAGAGATTGCAATAAGCCTAGATCACACCACTGCACCCCAGCCTGGGTGACAGAGGGAGACTCTGTCCCAAAACACATTTTTTTTTTTTAAAGCAAGATTCCTGGCTTTTCTCTGTAATATAGAATACACATGTCCTGTAAAGCTTTCATGGAAAGCATTTTATTGCTGGGCATGGTGGCTCATACCTGTAATCCGAGCACTTTGGGAGGCCAAGGCAGATGGATCATCTGAGGCCAGCAGTTCAAGACCAGCCTGGCCAAGATGGTGAAATGTCTACTAAAAATACAAAAATTAGCCAGGCATGGTGGTGTGTGCCTGGAATCTCAAGTTACTTGGGAGGCTGATGCATGAGAAATTGCTTGAACCCAAGTGGTAGAGGTTGCAGTGAGCAGAGATCCCACCGCTATACTCCAGCCTGGTGACAGAGTGAGAATTTTATTTTAGGACATACTGCTTATTTAATATTTTTATTAAATAACGTTTTATTACAACAGTATTACATTTACACTGTAGATATTTAGAAAAATCAGGTAAGCAGAGAGCCATCCTCAGTTACTAAGTATATACTGTAACTTTAGTTATAGTATATAGTTTAACCATGTTGATGAATAACCTTCCAGACTTTTTCTATGTAGGTTGATAGATTTGACTATATAAACTTGGGGAAAGTAGTTGCATGTAGGCAACAACCATTACTATTTCTATTCATAAAGAGCTCTTTGAAATCACTGAAGTGACAGAAACCCCTATGGAAAATGAACAAGGAAATAGGAAGAAATACAAGCAGCCAATAAATATAGTAAAAAGGCATTCACTTTAAAAATTTAAGAAATGCAAATTAAAATGGTAAGATAATATTTTTCATGTATCATATGGCAAAGGTTATTAAGAATAATTTAGCTGGGCGCAGTGGTGTATGCCAGTAGTCCCAGCTACTTAGGCTGAGATGGGAGGATAACTTGGGCCTGGGAGGTCGAGGCTGCAGTGAGCCAAGATCATGCCACTGCACTTCAGCCTGGGCAACAGAGTGAGACTCTGTCTCAAAAATTAAATTTAAAAAAAAAAAAATACCACGGTTAGTAAGGTTTCATAGAAATAAATAGGTGCAGCCTTTCTGGTGGGTAATTCCTAACTTATGTGTTTAATATTGCTGTTTCCTTCTGCTTGCCACCCTTTCAGTTATGCTTTTCCTTTTTCTTTCTTTCTTTTTTTTTTTTTTTGAGACACAGTTTCACTCTTGTTACCCAGGCTGGAGTGCAATGGTGTGATCTTGGCTCACTGCAACCTCCACCTTCTGGGTTCAAGCAATTCTCCTGCCTCAGTCTCCCAAGTAGCTGGGACTACAGGTGCGTGCCACCATGCCCAGCTAATTTTTGCATTTTTAGTAGAGACGGGGTTTCACCATGTTGACCAGGATGGTCTCGATGTCTTGACCTCGTGATCCACCCGCCTCGGCCTCCCAAAGTGCTGGGATTATAGGTGTGAGCCACCGTGCCTGGCCCAGTTATGCTTTTTCTTTTTCACCAACAATTCTCTACAACTTCTGTAGGTACATGTAAAACAATCTATAGTATGTCTCTAAGTTTGGTTTACTTGAAGCCATGGAAGCAACTCTGAATTTGCCTTTTAGGAAATTATTTTAGGAAAACAAATATATTTTTTCTATTATAAAGAACACCTCTGGCCAGGCATGGTGGCTTATGCCTGTAATCCCAGTACTTTGTCGGGCCAAGGTGGGCAGATCACCTGAGGTCAGGAATTTGAGACCAGTCTGACCAACATGATTAAACCCCATTTCTACGAAAAATACAAAAAGTAGCTGGGTGTGGTGGCGCATGCCTGTAATCCCAGCTACTTGGGAGGCTGAGGCAGGAGACTCACTTGAATTTGGGAGGTGGAGGTTTCAGTGAGCTGAGATTATGCCACTGCACTTCAGCCCAGGCAAAAGAGTGAGACTTTGTCTCAAAAAGAAAAAAGCAAAACAACAAAAAACCAAAACGTCTTTACTGGATAAACATTAATTAAAACAGTCTAGATGAGTAGATTCTCAACAGTGTGGCACTGCCTTGAAAGTGGCATTTCAGTTGTCACTTTGTTTCTTTGAGACAGAGTTTTGCTATTGTCCCCCAGGCTGGAGTGCAGTGGCAGGATCTCTGCTCACTGCAACCTCTGCTTTCTGGGGTTTAAGCGATTCTCCTGCCTCAGCCTCTCGAGTAGCTGGGAGTACAGCCATGTGCTACCATGCAATACCATGAAAAATAATTTTTGTATTTTCAGTAGAGATGGGGTTTCACCATGTTGGCCAGGCTGGTCTTGATCTCCCAACCTCAGGTGATCCACCCGCCTCAGCCCTCCAAAGAGCTGGGATTACACATGAGAGCCACTGTGCCTGACCTCAGTTGTTACTTTGAAGGAAGGGTAGGAATGGCATAGGTGGGAGAGAGATCAGAAATATAAGACATCTTACCATGCAGGGTATATTCATAAAGGTGAAAACATTTTTGTTATCTAAGCCTAAAAGCAAAGTCCATTTTATGTATAAACATAATGTTTTTTTAGTTTAGCATTAATATATACAGAACATTCCAGCTTTGCCATGACTGTAGAGTGAGGGAAGAATGTTTTTTCTTGTAAACTTTACCAACTGTTGTTTACATTTCATAGCATCATATTACCAGAAGCAACTGTTCTCCCTCTGGAGTCACCAATGCCACATACCTGTATCAATTTGCATTTGTAGAAGTCACAGGTGGTTCTACATAAAGATGTAAAGATACATTCATCTAGCTACTTTATGTGTCTTTTAGTGAACTAGTATAGGTGTACACATATTATATTATAAATTATTTTCCTTTTAGTTTTATATTAAATTACAATTAGATCATTGAATTGAGATATTCACATACTGTGAAACGAATCTTTTAAAGTGTACAATTCAGTGGGTTTTAATATATTCACAAAGTTGTGCAACCATTAGCACTATCTACTTCCAGAATGTTTTCATCATGCCCCAAAGAAACTTTCTATCTATGAACAGTCACTTCCCATTCACCCCTCCTTGAGATTCTGGCAACTATTACATTACTTTCAGCCTCCATCGATTTGTCTATCCTGGACATTTCATATAAATGAGATGTCCGATATTTGGCCTTTTATGTCTGGCTTCTTTTACTTACCCTGCTTTTAAGTCTCATTCATGTTGTAGCAGGTATGAGTACTTTATTCCATTTTTATGGCTGAATAATATATTGATTTTTTGAAATTATATGGGTGGGAAGTTATATTATCTATGCATTTTATTTCAGGATAGTAAAGGAGGTGTTAACAAAATATTTGTAATATAAAAGAACATTGGATCAGAGCTACTGATCTAGCTGGAAAAACAAGACAGTTGTACATAAAAGGCAATTAGCAACTCAAACAAAAACATCATGCAATCAGTAGACAATTAAATTTTCTAGGACAAAGGGTGATAGGTAAGGATTAGGCAGAGATTAAATCTGAGTGATCGATCCTATTCAGTTAATGAGTTGGCAAAGCCTGGAATGAAATACAGCCATCCAAAAGTTAAACTGCCAACCTTATAGAATGCTAGCCCATCTCCAGTAATTTCCACTGAGAGATCTTTCTTTCCAGTAGGCTCTGCAGTGATGAAGCGGATCAGCGGAAGCAAAGTCATCCTACTGGAACCAAACGGATATTTCCGTGGAGTCCTAAGGGGATGGATTTTGCAGAGCAAAGCTGTAAGCTGCCACCTCTGACTTCTGAGGAAGCCTTACCTCCACGTTCCCCGTGGTGCCTTTGCACGGGCTATTTAGGCACATTTCGGCCGCCGTGGCGGGGCACGGCTCAGCTGTTGCGTGGGCGGGGCCTTTGCAGAGCATGGCGGCGGGCGAGCTTGAGGGCGGCAAGCCCCTGAACGGGTTGCTGAATGCGCTGGCACAGGAGACTTTCCACGGGCACCCCGGCATCACAGAGGAGCTGCTGCGGAGTCAGCTGTATCCAGAGGTGCCACCCGAGGAGTTCCGCCCCTTTCTGGCAAAGATGAGGGGAATTCTTAAGGTACTGCTCTTCCCTGTAGTCTCCGGCTTGGAGCACAGACCCTTTACCGCGGGCGTCAGACTCGCTCCACTCGCCTTCCCTCGTCCTCATAAACTGAAAGGCTTTTCCTTCACAGACCTCTACTCCGCGGGCTCCACATTGCGCTCGTTCAGATGATCTCGCTGCGTCGCCCCTTCTCACTTTCCTAAGGGTGACGTTTTTCTGCTGAAGTTCCCAGCCCCCTGGTGGGACTGACTGACATTCAACGGGAGTTTTTCCTTCAAGACATCTCGTCTTCTCTGTCTCTTGGTAACAGTCGAGTTTCCTCAGCAGATCTGTGGGCTCTGGAATTTTTAAAATTAAGAGTTTTAGGTCGCCAGCTTTCCCGAGTTGTGGAAGTTGGGAGCGTTAAACTGAGCCAGTGTCTGGCGGATAAGGGGGTGGCTTAGCCCGAGTGACATCTGTCAAGCAGTCCACTGCATGGTTAAGAGAGCGTATTTACCAGATTGAAGCCAAAGTATAGACTAGACCATCCGATAGAAATATGTGAGCCAAGAAGGTGAAATTAATTTTAATAATATCTTATTAACCTAGAATATCCAAAGTATTATCACTTTACATGTAATCAGTATATAGAATCTTGACAAGATTTTGTTACTTTTTTCACTAAGTCTTTGAAATCCAATATGTTACACTTAAAGCACGTATCTCGGACTAGCCACGTTTCAAGTGCTCAATAGTCCCATGTGGCTAATGACCATAGTATTGAACAACTCTGTTTAGACCGAGGACTAGTTATAGGAATGAATCTAGTGTCAGTGTACTCTAGAGACAGACTGTAAAAAAAAATTACTGACTTTTATAGGTCTTCTATGTGTTAGGAACCCTGTACTAAGATGTGTTACATGTTACTTCATTTGTTTCTTGAAAAAACAAAACAAAAACCTTATATAGTGGACACCCATTGTAAAGATTTAGGAAACAATCTCAGGGAATCTAAACGGACTAAAATGACATTTTGATTAAAGTCAGTGTTGAAATTTAATCCACTATCCTTTTGAATTTACTATTTTTTCAAGGCTGTTTATGCTTTAAAAAGGTAATTCTATATTTTTAAAACTGATTTTTGCCTAAAGGATTTGAATCCAGAAAAAAAGCAAATGAAAACAAGTATTTCAGATGGTAAATAGATTGTCTCATGGAAATGTAAGTATCTCAGGTGCCAGATTACTACATTCTAAGTGGTCTTAGCTGATACAAATCATAAACCACTGGTGAATGCTTCCTATTTCTTTTAAATTTTAGTTTTTGAGCAGCCTGAGAGAGTTTCCTAGAAAATTTGACATGTGGATTTTTAAGGTGTTTGGTCCTCTATAGGGATGAGGCCTATATCTCTTCTTCTCCAGGCTAAGAAGAGACAACAGCACATGTGTAGGTAATGTGTGTTAGAATCTCCAAATGCTGGGGGCTACTTTTCTCTAGATGGACCACATTTTGATTGATTGGTTTTGTTATGAGATAAAACAGCAAGGTACTCAGAGAAGTTTGCCTGAAAACTATTTCTCCTATTTTCCTTTTTCTTGAGACGGAGTTGTGCTCTTCTTGCCCAGGCTGGAGAGCAATGACGTAATCTTGGCTTACTACAGCCCCCACCTCATGGGTTCAAGCGATTCTCCTGCCTCAGCGTCCTGTGTAGCTGAGATTACAGGTGTTCGCCACCCTGCCCGGCTAATTTTTGTATTTTTAGTAGGGACGGGGTTTCACCATGTTGGCCAGGCTGGTCTTGAACTCCTGACCTCAGGTGATCTGCCCACCTCGGCCTCCCGAAGTGCTGGGATTACAGGCATGAACCACTGCATCCTGCCTTATTTTAAATTGCTGAATAATATACAGGATATGTGAAGTATTCTGATTGGTTCTGTATTGTGGAGCTGGCATGGCTCTCTTGGTGTTGGGAGTAGGCAACAGAAGATTTGCAGGTACCTGGCAGCACAACCTCTGCTAGCTGATTAGTCTGAGGAACTAAGGGATATGCCTTTGATTGTTTTACTTAGGGCTGAAACCATGGGCTCAGGATGACATCCAGTTCCAATCTTTATTTAACTTAAAGGCAATGCTGAGGGCTAAATGTCTCTAATTCTTATGGAAACATAGAAAACAAACATGATTTTTGTTTTTGTGTATTTATTTATTTTTGAAATGGAGTTTCACTCTTCTTGCCCAGGCTGGAGTATAATGGCACAATCTGGGCTCACTGTAACCTCACCTCCTGGGTTCAAGCGATTCTCCTGCCTCAGCCTCCCAAGTAGCTGTGATTACAGGCAAGGGCCACCACTCCAGGCTAATTTTGTATTTTTAGTAGAGATAGGATATCTCCATGTTGGTTGGGCTTGTCTGGAACTCCTGACCTCAGGTGATCTGCCTGCCTCAAAGTTTTGAGATTATAGGCGTGAGCCACTGTGCCCAGCACAGACATGATTTTTAAACTGAAAGGCTTGGCAGATAGAATCTCTATCAGCGGTAAGAGGGAACATACACAAATAAGCATTATGCAAGGATGCGATTGTATTTGTAAATAGAATTGTGAGTAAACACCTGAAGATAGATTAAGAGGTATCAGTTCTTTCTGGCAGGCTTCTTGGAGATGCCATTTTTGCTGCTGTAACATATTTTAGACTGAGATGAAGGGTAGCCATATAGAGCAGTCTGAGTTAAGAACATAGCACGGGTGGATAAGGAAAAAAGCAGGCTCAGGGAAATAGTCCAGTTTGATCATAATATGGGGGTAACCAATATGGAATATTGGTGGAGGAGGCAAGAGAAAAATGAAACAACTTTTTATTCCTATAATCCTGCTAACTTTTATTCCTGCTCCCCCTCCTTTTTTTTTTTTTTTTTTTTTGAGACAGAGTTTTGCTCTTGCTGCCCAGGCTGGAGTGCAATGGTGCGATCTTGGGCTCACTACAATCTCTGCTTCCTAGGTTCAAGCGATTCTCCTGCCTCAGCCTGCTGAGTAGCTGGGATTATAGGCATGCACCAACACACCCAGCTAAGTTTTTTGTATTTTTAGTAGAGATGGGGATTCTCCATGTTGGTCTCGAACTCCCAGCCTCGGGTGATCTGCCTCCCTCAGACTCCCAAAGTGCTGGCATTATGGGCGTGAGCCACCATGCCCAGCTATTCCTACTCTTAAGCAGGATGTACATTTTTGCATATAAAGGACAACAGAGTTCATACTTTCAATTATCTGTATAATATCATGGTCCGTGAAGAAAGTGAAAATGAAGGGTGACAACAGGGTAGAAGGAAAAGAAGGAAGGAGGGGACGTGTAGCTCCCAACGGGGGATACAGTGGACACACATATTAACAGCCTCCTTATTGCCAGCTGCCTAGCAATATATTTCATAGGCTGTGTTTCAGGTTCAGGTGCTCCGTAAGCTATAGCCCTTCCCTCTGACTTTCATGTTGTATGCCAACGTGTTATGAACTGATTCCTGTCATTTGTACTGGTCCTGTTTTCTGCTTAGAATGGACCCCTCCTACCCTACTTGTCTGGGACATTGACCCTCTCTAGCTTTGGCTGTTAATCACAAAATGGCAAACGTTTCGTCTGCTCATAGATATGTGAAGCTGGCCATTCACTTGCTCTAGTTTTTATTTTTGGGTAGACCCTAAGGAGCAATGAAGTCAATAAATTGGGAATGGTGTGTTTATTTAGGGAGATGACATCCTGTGTATGAATATTCTTGTTTTGCTAAACACTGCCTTTTTTTTTTTTTTTTTTTTTTGAGATAAAGTCTTACTCTGTTGCCCACGCTGAAGTGCAGTGGCACGATCTCAGCTCACTGCAACCTCTGCCTCCTGGGTTTAAGCATTTCTGCCTCAGCCTCAGGAGTAGCTGGGATTGCAGACATCTGCCACCATGCTCAGCTAATTTTTGTATTTAGTAGAGACGGAGTTACACCATGTTGGCCAAGTTGGTCTTGAACTGCTGACCTCAAGCGATTTACCCACTTTGGCCTCCCAAAGTGCTGGGATTACAGGTGTGAGCCACTGTGCCTGGCCTAACACTGCCATTTTAATCTACTTCTTTTGCTCACATTATAATTCAACTTCTTAAAGATATGTGTTTGCATGATCTTTATTGCTGTTGCTGTTAACCTTGTGCATATGCTCAATTCTAGTAAATCCCAGATTGCAAGAATTAAAGAGCATAATCTAACTATGAAGATCAATCACCTTTTGTACACTTTAGTCTGTATTCACTACTGCCCTCTGGTGATGATTTTGTATTTCTTTTTTTTTTTTTTTTTTTTTTTTTTTTGAGACAGAGTTTCGCTCTTGTTACCCAGGCTGGAGTGCAGTGGCGCGATCTCGGCTCACCGCAACCTCCGCCTCCTGGGTTCAGGCAATTCTCCTGCCTCAGCCTCCTGGGTAGCTGGGATTATAGGCACGCACCACCATGCCCAGCTAATTTTTTGTATTTTTAGTAGAGACGGGGTTTCACCATATTGACCAGGTTGGTCTCGATCTCTTGACCTCGTGATCCAACCGCCTCGGCCTCCCAAAGTGCTGGGATTACAGAATTTTATATTTCTTTATTGGAACTTTAAACTCAAATTTTTTTTTTTTTTTTTTTTTTTTGAGATGGAGTCTCTGATACCCAGGCTGGAGTGCAGTGGCACGATCTCAGTTTACTGCAACCTCTGCCTCCTGGGTTAAAGTGAATCTCCTTCCTTAGCCTCCTGAGTAGCTAGGACTACAGGCATGCACCACCACACCTGGCTAATTTTTGTATTTTTTAGTAGAAATGGAGTTTTGCCAAATTGGACAGGCTGGTCTTGAACTCCTGACCTCATGATCCGCCCACCTCGGCCTCCCAAAGTGCTGGGATGATAAGCGTGAGCCACTGCACCCATCCTAAACAAAAAGTTTAAATGAAAATTCTCATTTTGTGTTGTCTGTTGCTAATTTGTATACTCTGGTACTCAGTTACATCAATCAAATGGTAATTTATCTA